TGGTTAAGAGTCCCTTGGATTTGTCTGCCCAGGCTGGTTTTGAATCTCAATCAGCAAATTTCAGCCACCTGAGTAGCTAGGCGTGCAGGTCTGAGCCACAGACACACAGCTCCATTTCTATTCTTCGTACGTATCTTCAGAGTAATTCCTTAGTAGGTCTCATGGACCTTTTCTTCCCCCCCCATCAGCTCTATTTGAATTTGGTGGACTTTATCTCTGAGCAACAAGCAGCCTGCCTCTGTAGGGTAGAAGTGGTTTTGTGTTCATGTTGGAATGATGTTGTAAAGCTTAGTCTGTAAATCTTCAGCAGCCACTCTGGACATTTGAACGCTTTGGACATTTGAACGCTTTGGACATTAAGAAGGAATGGGGACCCAGCACTGTTCTTCACACCAGCAGCTTAGCTGCTCAGAAAGCTCAGAGCTGAAGATTATGGTTTGAAGGCAGTCTGGGCAGTGAAGTCTGTCAGCAAAAAGCTGGAAGTAGAGCTGTGGCCCAAGGGATACAGCATCAGCCTTGAGCAGAAAAAGCTAAGGGGCAGTGCCCGGGCCTAGAATTCCAGTGCTAGTGCTAGCATATACATACATGCATGCATGCATACGTACATACATACATACAAGAAATGACGAAATACTAATCACTTTTGGAGGCATTAATTCGCTATTCTGTGACCTTTTTTACTTCATCAAAAAGTGCAAGTCTGTGCATCACTCATCATGGGGAACACATGCCCCAAGATTCAGTTACGCTCTGTTTATGCACACTCTGTGTGTGTGTGTGTGTGTGTGTGTGTGTGTGTGTGTGTGTGTGATAGAAAGGGGGGGAGGTCATACCTGATTTTCACAGGTGATTTTCCTGTGAATTTCTAAGACATTAATTCTAGAGGGAAGGCCGAATGGACAGCCGTCCGGCCTGTGCTAGGGCAGCGTGAGTTTTCAATGTCAGCTACTTTAGACTTGGCACAGGCTCCTGGGACCATTTCCACTTTCTCTATGGAGAACACATGTGTCATATTACCAAGGAAAAGCAGCCCATAAGAACAACAACGAACAAAACAAAAACCCTCTGCAAAGTAGTTATATTTTTGCCAGTGAACAGCTTTTCTTGAATTCATTGTTCTTTTAAAGCAGTCAGACAAATTACGTGATTATGATATATCCTATTAACTGGGAAGTCTCTCTGTTTGGGGTAAAAGAAATCAATACAAGGGCTCTTGGAGTGGCCTTTTCCTCTCTCTCCAGCCCCTTCCATTTGGGCTCAGAAAGGCTGCTCCCAAAGCTGCTGCTGGTGAAGCATGCCTGGCCTCGCCCTGAACGCCCGCCTTTCTCCAGGGGAGGCTTCCATTGTCTAGATCTGGAAGAAGACATAATTGGTCTGATACTCAAAATTGTAAACTTTTTTGATAAATAAACTTAGTATTTAAAGCTGCCCAGCTGCGCAGTGTGTGTGTGTGTGTGTGTGTGTGTATGTGTGTGTGTGTGTGTGTGTGTGTGTTTTTAAGTGGCTTAACTTAAATTAGGGAACACAAGAGACCTGTGGGCTGTGCTCAGACGCCATTTCCCACTGCATCAGTCTTCTGCATGCTGTGTGCTGGGCCTTGCATGGAGGCCGCCACCCCCCCCCCCCCCCCCCCCCGTGCGCCAGTTCTCGTACCCGGCTCCCTCCTCCTCCTCTGCACTCATGCTCCTGTTTATTTTCTACATTCGTCCTTTGCTGCCTCGGTACTCGAGTGTAAAACCCTTCGGGGACAGGGCTCATCATGTTACTTCGGTGATAGACCAGAGACAACTTGAGCTAGGTCAAGCCATGGGGTAGGTGATGAAAAGATCAGAGTAAATGAATCTCATCATTTTGCCTCCAAGCATATTCCAGGAGAGCAAAACCTTGGTAAATATTTTCTTTTTTGTCTGTCATGGGACTTGAACTCTGGGCCTGGGTGCTGTCTCTGAGCTCTTCAGCTCAAAGCAAATGCTCTGCTGCTTGAACCACAGCGCCACTTCTGATTTTCTGGTGGTTCATTGGAGATAAGAGCAGACTTTCTTTGCCCAGGCTGGCTTTGAACCACAGTCCTCAGATCTCAGCCTTCTGAGTAGCTAGGATTATAGGCATGAGCCACCGGCACCAGGCTAAGTATTTTCTTTTTTAAATCATTTTTGATGTTACTATAATGGTGATGTACAGAGGGTTTACAGTTTGGTTACAGTCAGGTTACAGTCAGAGGGTTACAGTCAGGTAATGAGTGTATTTCTTTTTGGACAATGTCACCCTTCCCTCACTCTCCCTCGTTTTTTCTCCCATCCCTACACACAAATTGTGTAGTTCATTATTTGCAACATAGTGTCTAGTGAGTACCACTGCTGCATTGGTTCCCCCTTTGTCTCTCTATTTACATTTACATTTCTGTGTAAATAGTTCCTTAAGAATTCAAATTTGTACGCTGGGCTCCATTGGTTCACACCTGTAATTGCCGCTAATCCAGAGGCTGAGATCTGAGGATTGCAGCCTGAAGACAGTCCTCGCAGGAAAGTCTGAGAGACCCCTGTCGCCCAAAGCTGGAAGTAGTCAAGTTGTAGCGTGCCAAACTGGAGCAAAAAAGCCAAGTGAAAGTAAGAGGCTCTGAGTTCAAGCTCCAGCCCCAGCCCAAAAAGTAAATAAATGACTCGACTTAAAATTGTGGGTTTCTAAGGGCAGTGGAGGAGCGCCCTGGAGTCTGAGCCTCTCTAGCCATTCTCTTCCTCTTCTGGATTCTGCGGCAAACCTGCCAGTTAAAGTGCTGGCTTTGGGATGCAGCCTCACGACGCCAGACCTCGGACGTATTTCCCATTCAGCTAAGGAGATGGACGCCGCTTTCATTGTTCCCTGGTGCTGGTTGAAAGGATGAGGCCCTGACACCAAAGGGAGGCTCTGTAGCCCATTCCCCAGCCACGTCCAGCCCATGGCCAGGCTGGGCTGCATCCGGTGCGTCTCTGTTTGCCTGATTCCATTTCTGGCTAGGGTCTTGAAGAAGAAGAATTAGTAAACTTTTTTCTCCTCAAAAATAGTTGAGATGTGTGTGTGTGATATCTCTCTATATCTATCCATCTATCTATCTATCCATCTATCTATCTATCCATCTATCTATCTATGGAGAGAGAGGGAGAGGGAGAGAGACAGAGAGAGGGAGGGAGAGAGAGAGAGAGAAGGGAGGGAGACAGAGAGAGTGAGGGGGGGGTGGTCATGAGGCTTTAACTCAGGGCCTGGGCACACTATCCTTGAGCTCTTTCACTCAAGACTAGTGCTCTACTTCTGTGAGCCACAGCGCCACTTCTGCTTTTCTGTGGTTCGTTGGAGATGAGTCATACACACTTTCCTGCCCGGGCTGGCTTTGAACCGTATCCTCCGATCTCAGCCTCCTGAGTAGCTAGGATTACAGATGTGAACCACCATTGCTCAGGTCATATAGTATATGTTGATCAGAAGAACTCACTTCATAGCTTTCCACTGTATATATTTTCAGAAGAAAATATTTTTCATTAATACACCAATGAAAAGTAGATTTTTTTAAAGCAATATAAAAACATTGATTAAATTGATAAATGTTCCCTACTGATTTAAAACTGAGGCTTGAAGTGGAGTGTTTGTAATTTAAAGAAGTATAAATATACAAATAGGCTTTATGTTTGATGATGATTTCTGGTCTTCTGCTATAGTTATATTTATGTATAAGACAGGAATGATTAGCCAGAGGGATCTATTCTCGTAGTGAAATTGTTTCCTTTGCTCTATTTGGTAGTAGTTCTTATGCAGAGTAACCACGTTTTCTCCACTTTGATGTTCTATCATCTTTATCTACAATTGTTTTTTTTTTCTTTTCTTTTCTAAAAGGACAATAAAACAGAACATTAGGACACCAATGAACTGGTAATGCTTGCTACTCAGGAGGCTGAGAGCTGAAGATCAAGGTTCAAAGCCAGCCCAGACAGGAAAGTCTACCTCTAGTTAACCACCCAAAAACCTGAAAATGGAGTTGTGGCTCAATTGAGCAAAAGAAAGCAAACCTCAGGGACAGCATTGAGTTCAAGCCTTAGGACCAGCACACACACACACAAAAAGAAAAGCACAGTGAGGCAGATCTGTAAGGCTTCATATCAAGTTACAGATCAGCGTAGTTACAGACCCCAACTCAAGTAATCAAATCTCTCTCTGTCTCTGTCTCTCCCTCTCTCTCTTCACACACACACACACACACCTCTCTGCTCTCCTAGTAGCAGTGGGTGGGGGCACACAAGAAATTCAGTTTAGCAAATAATCCAGTACTTTTCCGTTCATTGTGCTATTTACAAATTCTCAGCAGCACTGGATCACATATCAGCGCTTGCAACAACAGAGCACCTGCTAAGCTTCCCCTGACCCGACCCAAACATTATATTTTCATGAGCATTTCACAATATTTCTCATCCCCTCTTCCCAGTCTTGACCCACTAACCCCAAGAATCAAGAAAATGTCATGTTAGTGCCTACTAATTAGAGCCCTTTCATGTGGCCTTTCAACCTCCTGGAGGTAGAGACTCAAGCTGTCACTCATGTCACTGGGGGAAAATGAGCCTTACTCCAGGTCCTCTGTGTTGCAAACTACCCCATCAGCCCAGCGGTGACTAGAGATGAATATGCAGGTTAGGGGAAATTAACCTAGCTGCTGTCGTATTTGCATGATTGCCGGGCAGATGACACGGGGCTACCTGGATTGAAATCGCCGCAGTGAGGGCCCGTGCAGGCGTTCACTCTGGACCGGGGCTGCTCTACCGTCTCTCCCATCCACACCCCGTCCGGCATGCTCATTCATTTGGTTCCAGTGCTCATTAATCAGCGCTGTTGGGCCAAGGTCTCCTGAGCCTTCGGGGTTGGGGAGAATCAGCTGCTGTAATTAGAGCGATGAAATATATCATGGTCACAAACTTACCCCATCAGACAGTGGAAGGTTCTGAACCAGTAGAATTAATCTCGCTTTAATTTTGTTTTAGGTGTTTAAGATAGAAGTATTCATGAATGGAAGAAAACATTTTGTGGAGAAGAGGTACAGTGAATTTCATGCCTTGCACAAAAAGGTAAACTTTGTATTTTGTTTTTTTCCCTCTCTTTTCTGTATGTGACATGTGTAATGCGTGCAAAGACTCCAGTCTGTGGTGCTAAGAGCATTTTTGGTACTGGCACTGGGGCTTTAACTCAGGATCTTAGCTTTTTCACTCAAGGCTGGTGCTTTGCCACTTGAACCACAGCCCCACTTTCAGAATTTTGGTGCTTAATTAGAGACAAGAACCTCACAGACTTTCTTGCCCAGGCTGGCTTCAAACTACAATCCTCAGATCTCAGCCTCCTGAGTAGCTGGGATTATGGGTGTGAGCCACTAGTACCCAATCTGCATGGGTTCTTTGTTGTGACATAGATTTCCTTTGAAAATGACCTTTCACTCTGTTGAGTGTGATTTCTGAGCAGGTTGGCTTACTGTTAAGATTGCTTATAGAGGAGCTGGGAAGGTGGCTCAGTGGTAGAGTGTTTGCCTTGCATGCATGAGGCCCTGGGTTTGATTCCTCAGCACCACATAACCAAAAAAGAAAAAAGCTGGAAGTGGCTCTGTGGCTCAAGTGGTAGAGCACTAGCCTTGAATTGAAGAGCTGAGGGACAGCGCTCAGGCCCAGAGTTCAGGCCCCAGGACTGACAAAAAAAAAAAAAAAAGATTGCTTATGTATGTAACTCTGATGTACGTGCTATTTGCAGTGTATTGTTTTAGAAATTAGAGGGTCAGAAAGAATAAAGATCAGACCCTGTTTTACCCAAGTGTGTACTTCATATTCTTTACTAAAAACAAAACCAAACCAGAGCGGGCAGGGGAATCACATGACCACGAATGGAATTCAACCTACATGTTCCTGGCAAGCATCACACCCACGAGCTCATTTTCAAGGGCCGGGGACCTAGGAAGAAGAGACTCTGGCTCAGCCCGGTCATGACGGATGGCTCAGTTCTAGGCTCTGTTTTCCTTTTTAAAGCTTATTTTGATGGTCTTTACGCACTTGTGCAGAGGGTTTCATTCAGTGTGTCACTCGCAAATGCAGTGCGTCTTGATCATGTCACCCCTTTGTCCTTCCCCCGTCCCTCCCTAAGCTGTTTGCTAAAAGTCATAGATAGACACATAGGTAGACACAGAAATGCGAAAGGATAACTAAGCTCAGAGACAGGGCCATTCACTAATGGCGAGAAATGCATACTTTTTTATCTTTTACCAACATTTAATTTTTGAGGACTGTAAATTATTGTCACAGCGCTGCAATTGTTTTAATAACTAGAGATACCTCATGAAAAATTACCCATGTGAGTGATTTTACTGTTTTATTTCGTTAATGTGTATGTAATATGTACCACTTGATTTTCCAGTTAGTGCTCCTACCATTCTAGTATAGAAGTATACTCTATCCATCTACCTACCTACCTACCTACCTACCTACCTACCTACCTATCTATCCGTTGTGATAGTCCTGGGGTTTGAATTCAGGGTTTGGACGCTGTCTCTGAGCTTTTTTGCTCAAGGTTAGCGCTTTAACACCTGAACCACAGCTCCCCTCCTGGCTTTTTTGGAGGTTAATTGGAGATGAGAGTCTCACAGACTGTCTTGAACCGCCTTCCTCATCTAATTTCCCTCCCATACAGCGAGGGTTACAGGTGGGGCCATCCATGCAAGGCTTCATTCTCCCTTCTGTTAGTATTGCTCTAATTATTTCCATTCTTGTCTTCTTGCCCATCCCTGTCTGATGACCAGTTTTCCTAACTCACTATTTCATCCCCATTCTCTCCGAGTCCTTAAAACCCAGCCAGAGGTGGCCTGCTGCCTTGGCTAATCTGCATCCTCAGAGTAATCCCCTCCACCTGCAGCTCCCTCACAGAGCTTCCTCTCCACACAGCCCTCTCTCACTCCCCCTTCTCCTTGTGAGAATGCAGGCCTACAATGATTTAGATCCCTCCTTCTCTCCCTTCCTCCCTCCCTTCCTTCTTTCCTTCCTTCATATCTAGCTTGATCTCAAGAGTCACATGCTTGGCTCAACTAATGCTCTATTGCTCGACTCATGCCTTCAGCACTGCCTTTTGCTGACTGTTTTGGAGATGGGGTCTTGAGGGCTTTTCTGCCTGGCTTGAAAATATTGATCCTCCAGATCTCAACCTCCTGAGCAGCTAGGATTTCTCTAGTTGGGACTTGTGGGTGTCAGTCAGATCCGTAATTAAATCCCATGTTCTTCCCCTGGTGAGCAAACTCCTTGATTCCGGACAGGGGGTTCTCTAGCATCTAACGCAACCCTGATTTTGTCAGTCTGAAACCCCTTACAAGCTAGCCTCGGTTGTTACTGTTTCTCCTAAGAATACTGAGTGTCAGCCATTCTTGTCTCTCACCCTGCACGCTGTGTCTGCTAGGCTGAGTGCTATTTGTGCTCTGATGTGTTCAAACAAACCAGAACATTTCGGTTTCTCCTTCTTGGGCTAGCTCCTTTGTTCCTAATCTCTCTTCTTTGAACTCCTATCCGACTTCAAATACAAATTTCCATGTAAGAATTCAAAATTAGATCTTAGGATAATTCAATCCTAGTTATCCTTACTGTGTTGAATTAGAAGATACCTTTTCTTAAGCAGTACTAGAGTTTGAACTCAGGACTTTGTGCTTTTGAGGCAGGGACTCTACCGCTTGAGCCATACCTCCGAGTTCTCTTGGCTCTGGGTATTTTTGAGATAGATTTTGCTGAGGCCGGGCTTATTGACACTGCATGCCTTCCCTGGAATAAGCCATAGCACCAGGTCGTCTTCAATGGAGATGGAGTCTCTCCAGCTTTTTTTTTGCCCAGTCTGGCCTGGAACTACACCCCTTTGGAACTGGGACAGCAGGCACACACCTCTGCACGCGCCTGTGGTTTGAGAAGGGGTCTTGGGAACTTTTTGGCCTTGAACATTGATCCTCTTGAGTAACTGCAACTACCGGTGTGAGTCATCACAGCTGATACTCTGTGTGTGTGTGTGTGTGTGTGTGTGTGCGCACGGCCATGCGTTTTCAGTTGTCCTGGTCCTTCAAGAGCCAAGTCATTTACATCGTTAATGGCAGTAGATGGAAAGCACTGTCCCTACAGAAGCCCTGGTCTCATGCAAGGCAGGAAACCTTCCCTGCAAATCCACCCTTATTCACAATTTTTCAGTGAAACCCTTTGTGTGTGTGTGTTTTGTTTGTTTTTGTGCTAGTACTGGGGCTTAAACTTTAGACCTCACGTACTCCTTTAGCTTTCTTGCTCAAGGCTGGCTCTCTAAACCTGAACCACTTCTGCACTTGTGGCTTGTTGCTGGTCAATTAGAGCTGTGACTCTTGGGTTTGCCTGCCAGGGCTGGCTTTGAACTGCAATCCTCAGATCTTAGCCTTGTGAGTAGCTAGGATCATAGGCGGGAACCACCAGCTGCCTTCTTGGGATTTGAGTCCTGTTGTGCATTCTCTTCTGTTCAATGAAGTTCTGTCATTTAAAAAGATCCAGAAAACTGTTGGATGACATCAGACCAAGATTGCTCATCCCTGCTCAGTTTCTGAAGAGATCCCCAGGAGAACAAGGGTTGACGGTGGGGTGGGGGGGACAGGGAGTTAGCCAAGTGCCTATTTCTTTACACTTGGTGCTTTTCGGTTCTTCTCAGGGCTGGGCTGGAGGTAGGTATTTCTGATCCTTTCTGGGCAGGCGGGTCTGCACGGGGCAAGTTCAGGAAAGGGGGTTTGTAAGGGTATCATGGGATCTGCTATTATCTGCGTGGCTCGGAAGGGCCCCTTGCCTGGCCTCCGCGTGGCGGGAAAGTTAATCATGTGTTCGGGTGGCAGAGGGGTATTTATCTTGGACGCAGCTGAGCCCTGCGGGAAACGCATTGTCTGGGGTTTGTCTCATCCGCACCATCCATTACTCACCTCCACTGTGTCACAGCCCCGCTCACCTCCCCTTCCTCCAGTGTCCTCACCGGGAAGAAAAGGGGAAAAGCCTCCCGGGTTCTGGGGTTGCAGCTTCAAGACAGAAAAAATAAAAATAAAAAAGGAGTCACAGGAGCGGAGACAGATAATAGAGTTGATTTCTTTTTAATTCTCAAAAAGAAGATAACATTGCGTTTCAGTCATTGGAAAGAAGGCTTTTTTTTTAGTGTTCCCCTTGACGTTTTTTCTTTATCACCTTCAAGTGGTTGTCCAAAGGCGTTTCCGTTTGTTTTGTATTGGTGCCAGGGCTTGAACTCCGGGCTGACATGCTACCCCTGGCTCAGGCTGGTGCTCTACCATCTGAGCCACACCTCCCGCCGTCACTTTGATTGCTGGCCCATGGCCGTGACAGCCCTCGGCCCCCCAAGGCCACCGCAGGGTCCCTCACATCGTGGTGGGCCTGTGGAAGCAGCAGCGTGCCAGGCCTGAGCTTGGAGATGCACAGGCCTGGGGCCTGCCACCCTCCGCCAGGCCGCTCTGCAGAAACCCGGCTCCTTGAGCTCGGTGAGCTCTTGGCTGCTCAACGCTCCCGAGATACGCAGACGCCCCACACACAGACCCCATGCACCTGCTTCCTTCTCTCCACTCCTGCGCATGGCCACATGGTCCACTTAGATCTTCAAACAGAACCACTGACTCCCTTATGTAACAAGTGGCCTGTGGCTTATAGTAGCCACTCAGACAGCTTCCTTACACATTGAAGACAGTTGCTGTTTTTGCTAGTTTATTTTTTTCCCAATTTTTATTTTTTATCGTTCTTTTAAAGGTGACGCACAGAGAGGTTACAGTTACCTAAGTCAGGTGGAGCTCATTTCTTGTTGAACGATGTCACCCTCCCCTCGCTCTCTTCCGGTGTTTCCCTCCCACCCCCACCCACAAGTTGTGGAGTTCATTTTCAACATGGCGTCCGCTGGGTGTCACTACTGCATCTCTTCACCCTCTGTCCCTCCATTTCTGTGCCCCCTTACAAGCCCAGAGATTGACAACTGAACAAACAGAACAAAAGGAAAACAAAAACAAAGGATAAAACCTCTTGTTTCCGTTTCCTGGAGGCCATTTCCATAAATACTACCTAATATAATCACAGGCACAGACAGGCATTGTGGCTTTGTGTATCCCCCTTTGGTCTCACTGAGTGTGAATGTCTAGAGTCCATATCATTTATCACGCCCCCATGTATTTACATCTAACTTCTGCATCTGAGAGAAAACACACTTTAGTGTTTTGAAGTTACGTGTTAAATTATCTTTAAGTAAGGACCAATGGCGTTACCATTCAACAGCTCAGTCTGGGAATGCAGCGCGTCCTAACTGGGGTCACCCCTTTCCTCATTCTCCTCCAATCTCCCAACCCCACTTCTTGTAATTTCGTAGACTTTCTATTGAATATCATCCCTGTATTCTTCCCTATTCCTCTCTTCCTTCCTCCCCTCATTCCTCCCACCCTAGCCCCTCCCATCTTTTGAGAACTAGTTTTCTGGCGTTCATTTTGTTGGACTGTGAGTTCCCTTTTCTAAGGAGTTACACGATTTGGCTTCCTCCTGCTAGCCCCTCGCTTTGCTGAAGGCGCTCAATCCTGTCCCATGTCAGTCAACCTGGAATGGGATTTTTTTTTTAATCAAAATAAAAGCAACAGTGACATAGTCTTCCCGTGTGTGTGTGTGTGTGTGTGTGTGTGTGTGTGTGTGTGTACTGGGCTTGAACTCAGGGTGTGTGATGTCTCAGGATTTTTGCTCAAGGCTGACACTGACACCTGAGCCACACTTCCACTTCTGGCCTTTTGCTGGCTAATTGGAGATAACAGTCTCACAGACTTTCCTGCCTGGGCTGGCTCTGAACTTTTATCCTCAGATCTTAGCCTCTTTCTTGGGTCTCTAGGATTACAGTCATGAGCCACCAGCACCTAGCCTAGAGTAGGACTTTTTATCTAGAAAAAGACTTCAAACAAGATTTTGTTGTACTGAATTTACTTCTGCCTCCCAAGCACTAGGCTTACAGGCTCTTGTCCTGAAGCTTGCCCCAAATAATTGTATTAAAAGTAAAGAATTTGTTTCTTAGCTTCTTACAGTTTTCTCTCCTGTGTTCAATATTTAATTTTTGTAAAAATAATTTTGTTTTGGAATGTCAATACCAGTAAATACCAAAACACCAACTCTTTTCTTGAAACATCTAAGTAGAGAATTTTTGACAGTATGTCAGTATAATTGTTCTGGTCCCCCCCCCCCATGGGGTATAACAATGGTTTACTTTCTTTTATTGACCCTTTTTTCCTACCAAATAATGTCATTAAAACTAACAGACCCCCCCCTTCTCTCTCCTTTATAGCTTAAGAAATGTATAAAAACTCCAGAAATCCCTTCTAAGCATGTTAGAAACTGGGTACCAAAAGTCTTGGAGCAACGGCGACAAGGTTTGGAGACCTACTTACAGGTAAGCTGCATCCTTAATTAATATCATATTGCTTACATAATCATATCGTACTCCTTTTTCTCAAGACAGATGAGTGTCATATAAAACATACCCAGCGACCAGCAGTTCTGAATTAAAATGAAGGACTTTTTTTTTGGGGGGGTGCTAGTACTGGGGTCAGAACTTGGGGCCTGGGGCCTGCCTTGTTCTTTAGTTTTTCTTCTCCAGGCTGGTGCTCTACCATTTGAGCCGTAGCTGCACTTCTAGCTTTTTGCCCAGGTTGGCTTGGAGCAGCAGTTCTCAGATTATGGATCTGAGCCATGGGCACTCAGTTAAGATGAAGGTATTTAAAATTACAAATATATGATTGGCTTGATCGTTTAGCTTTTATTACGTACCATGTAAAGACTGCCTTGGGAACTGAAAGCTGAGTATAGAAGGAAAAGCTTACATAGAGAGGATCTGTCCATCTTTCCGTTCAGCTCTACAGAATACTTTGGTTTGTGGAAAAGCAGCTTTGTTCGGGGCTGGTTGATTAGTGGGAGGAACAGGTCTGTGGATCCCATTGAGAATGTGTGCGTCATCGGGTCCCCTGTGCAAGGCCCTCTTCACTGAAAATAGACGGCCTTAGAAGGCTCTTGTCCCAGAAGAACTGCCTGAGTGCCAGGAGACAGAGCCGATCTGTCAGGTGACAAAGCAAGGGGAAGAGTAGGAAGCATGCCAGCTCTTTGCCTCTGAAAGCCTGAAGCCCGTAGTGCAAGGAAAGTGTGCAGAGGCTGTAGCTACGCAGGCCCAGCGCACTCGAGAAGGGACCTGTGAACATGAGGTGCGCATACTGGGCTGGGAGAGGCTTTACCTCTCAGAAAAGGATAGCTGGAGCTAGGTACAGTGGCTTACGCCATAATCCTCACCACTCCGGAGGCTGAGATCCAGAGGATTGCTGTTGGAGGCCAGCTTAGCCGTAAGTCCATGAGACTCCATCTCCAATTAACCAACAAAAGGCTGGGCTGGAGGTGTTGTTCAAGTGGTAAACTAACAGCTATGAGCAAGAAAGCTCAAGGCCCTAAGTTTAAATCCCAGTACTTGCAAAAGAAAGAAGAAAAGCCGGGTGCCCGTGGCTCACGCCTGTCATACTAGCTACTCAGGAGGCTGAGATCTGAGAATCGCAGTTCAAAGGCAGCCCAGGCAGGAAAGTGCGTGAGACTCATCTCCAATAAATCACCAGAAAATGAAAAGTGGCGCTGTGGCTCAAGTGGTAGAGCGCTAGCCTTGAGCAGAAGAGCTGAGGGACAGTGCCCAGGCCCAGAGATCAAGCCCCATGACTGACAAAAAAAAAAAAGGGCGGAAGGGAGGCGAGAAGAGGTAACTTTATCAAAAAGCTTCCGATTCGACTCGACCTTCTAAAATTGTCACGCTCACATCAGAGGTGTGCGGACCAGGACTGTGTCTTCCTTTAATGTCTCTTTATGGTGTGTTCGTGCCGGCACTGGGGCTGGAGTTCAGGGTGGTGTTTTCACTGAAGCGTGATGCTCTGCCACTTGAGCCACACCTTCATTTCTGGCTTTTTGCTAGTCCGTTGGAGATAAGAGCCTCCTGGACTTGGCCTCTGGGCTAGCTTCAAATCTTGATCCTCAGCTCTCGGCCTCCTGAATGGCAAGGATTACAGATGGGAACACTGCCTTTGAAGTCTTCGTGGTGGTCTGTGGTGAGCTGCAGGGTGGGTTCTTTGTATGAGGGCAGTGGTGGCTGGGTGAAGCTAGTTTGCTGTTTCCGCAGAGCTTCTGTGGGTGGTTGGCTGAGCTGCCAGGGATGCTTGAGGGCGGGAAGAGGCTGGCTGCACAGGAGTGTCTGGTAGTAAAGTCACAGCACTCAATCCCTGCTGCTTGCCTTCATCCGGGTCCTTGCAGCGTCCAGGCAGCAAGGATAGCTTTGCTCTGAGGACTGGCAGAGGTCTCTGCCCATCCACCTTCACTGAACTCAGGGGGCCGGAGGGAGCTCCGCCCAAAGGGACCGCAAATCACAGGGCGCGTGTGTGGCCGTGTTCCTGGAGATTCTGTGGATGCAGCTAGACTTCCATAGCTTCAGGCCACACTTCAGAGCAAGAGACAAACCAAAAGCCCCCCAAAGCAGACTTCGGAAATTGCAGGCAAAGGCTCCCAGTGCGTGTTCTTTATAATTAAACCCAACAGGTAAACAATGCGTTTGCATTCGTAAGCCAGATTTTCCACAGATATTGTATATCTTGCGCTCTCGCCCTCGTCCTGAAGCCAGCATTCTCCTCCCCACCCCCACGCTGGGGTTTGACACATGACTTCCATTAGGACTCAGTGTAAACACTGTGAGTTTGTTTGTACTTTGGACATGAATGTGTGGGTACAATCAAAAGCCCGCAGAAGAGTTTGTGGTGACACTCAAATTGAGCTTAGAATTTTCTACTCGCAGAAATCGGGTTTGAAAGATGTGGTTGCAGGGTGGAGAGCTGGCTTCCTGCTGCGCCTTTAACATCCAATCCCACATCCTCCGAGTTCCCCGCCGAGATCAAGGCGGGCGGGGTGAGTTCAGGAACATTCTTCTCTCCCTTCTCTACCTGGCTGTGTCTGCAGGCGGGATGAACATGACTGCTTTAGTCATCTCAAGTGGAATGCAAAATCCTGACACGGGTGTCATTGCTTGAGTCTGAGGACTGAAGTATTTCAATATGATAGCTAGAGCTGGGTCTGGCTGCTCTCATCTGTAATCCCAGCTACTCCCGAGGCAGAGATCAGGAGGATCCTCAGTTCAAGGTCAGCCTCGGTAGAAAGTTAGCAAGACCCCATTTCACTACACTGACAGCTCTTGTGAGCACCTGTCAGCCTTCTTTGTGATAAGCACTACCAGGCACTCAGGGTCCCGCCGGCGACCAGTGATCCCAGTTATTTTATCCATTTCTCTTGCTGTGTGCCGGGTGAGCTTCACCTGGATGCCGGGGGAAGGGCAGGGTCTCTTCCACTCGAATGGGCAAAGAAAGAGGTGTGTCTGCATCCCAGTGCACTGTGGTCAGCTGAAGCCTAATTCCTAAAGCTGGGGGTGGGGGGGAGCAGGTAATGTACGGAATAATCTGGGAGCTCCTCGTGAGACACAGAGTGTTCTGGGGTGCACAGAGGGGCAGACGGCCAGTGCCTGGAAAACCTTGGAAGAAATGGCATTGATCAAATGATTGCACTCACAAATCGTTATGTGTGCGGAGTTGGACACCCTTTGTACAACTACTTCAAGATAATTTTTAAGAAAGAAGAACATGGCCCTCCTTTTCTAAGTGGAGTGACTTTCCCAAGGGCCTGGGAAGGCTGAGACGGTCCTGAGGCTGGAGCTAACGCGCCTTCCTGAAGAGTCAAGACAGTAAGTTTCAGGTGTCCTGGACATGTCATATCCGCAGATGTCTCCTTCCCTGTTTAGAAAGTACAAAATAACAGATGACTCACGAATATACTTTACATTCAACACTTTCTATTATTACCAGCGAAGTTTGGAGCTGTCACACCAAAGGACATAGCTCTCGTTTACTACTTTCTGAGGAAGAGGCAAGAAGTCTCTTTCTCTTCGCATAGATGAAGTGTGGGGGGGCTCATTGTGACAGTTCCACACGTGTCCCCAATAGCTGCTGATCAGTCATTGAGTTGATTGATGTTTTCATGGTGAACCTTACATTTCAGGAATAAATCTCGCTTGGCCATTGTGTGAGTTTGTTTTTGGCATTTCAGTGAGGACTTCTGTATTCACGTTCATAAAGGATATTAATCTACAGTTTTCTTTCCCTGTATTGTTGGCGTCTGGTTCTAATGCTAGCCTGATAGAGGATATTTTTGGGGAAACTTGAGAGGGATTGATGTTAGCTTTTAAATTATTTAGTAGAATTCTCTGTGACACCTTCAAGTCCAGGGCCTTTGTCGGGAGATTTGTTGTTTTGTTTTGTTCTAGGTTTGTTTCAGCTGGTTTTTGAGGCAGTTCTTAACCATGTAATCCAGGCTGTTCTGGAACTGAAAATACCCCTGCCTTCACCTCCTGAGCGCTGCGATTCCAGGCTTGCACTACCACACTGGGCTGTCAGGAGGGTTTTGATGACTGAGTCCTTAGGATAGATCGGTTGCGGCTTCCCAGGGCATCATGGTTTCGGCTTGGTAATGTTTGTGTTTCTAGAACTACTTAGGCTATGTAATTTCCTGGCGAAGGACAGCTCATAGTTCTCTCTTATAAAAGCTTCTATTCCTTTAAAATTAGTAGCAGTAACCCACTTCGACTTCTGATTTTAGCCATTTTATTCTTCGTTCTTATTTTCTTATTACATTTAGCTAACAGTTTATCTTTTTTTTGGTGCCAGTCCTGGGGCTTGGACTTTGTTGCTGCACTCCCTTTCTAGCTTTTTGCTAGTTAACTGGAGATAAGAATTTCACAGACTTTCCTTCCTGGGCTGGCTCCAAACTGCGATCCTCAGATCTCAGCCTCTTGGGCAGGTGGGATTACAGGTGTGAGCCATTGGTGCCTAGCTTCTTTCTTGATTTTTAATCAAGCATTGAAAGTGATAGAAATTTGCTGTAGCATTGCTTTTGCTATGCCCCATAAATTTTGATATGTTTTCATTTGTCTCTGTATCTTCTAGTTTCTCTTTGACCTCTTCCTTCCTTCCTTTCTTCCTTTCATTCTTCCTTGCATTCTTGCTTGCTTGTTGTGCTAGGTTTGAACTCTGGATCTTGTGCTTACTTGGCTTGCTCTCTCAACTGGTTCTCAAACCCTTGAGCTATGCTTCCAGCCCTTGATTCCTTTTTTTCTCTCTTTTTCAGCTACAGTGTCAGTATTCTGATATACAGAGGCACAACATTCTGTGGTACAACATGGTCATTTGCCACATGTATGCAATGTGTAATAATCAGACATTTCTTCTTTGACCTGTCGGGTTTGGGGGGGAGATGTGTTTTACTTTCCATAAATTTGTAAATGTCACAGTTTTTTTTTCCTATTGATTCTAGCTTGCTGTAATTGTATAA